AGAGGAGATCTCAATACTTTGTAACATAACCTTTGTTGGCAATAACAGAGGTCAAACGTTTACTATAGGTCTTTACCAGGTTTGCACACACAGTAGCTGGTATTTTGGCCCATTCCTCCATGCAGATCTTCTCGAGAGCAGTGATGTTTTGGGGCTGTCGCCGAGCAACACGGACTTTCAACTCCCGCCACAGATTTTCTATGGGGTTGAGGTCTGGAGACTGGCTAGGCCACTCCAGGACTTTCAAATGCTTCTTACGGAGCCACTCCTTTGTTGCCCGGGCGGTGTGTTTTGGATCATTGTCATGTTGGAAGACCCAGCCTCGTTTCATCTTCAAAGTTCTCACTGATGGAAGGAGGTTTTGGCTCAAAATCTCACGATACATGGCCCCATTCATTCTGTCCTTAACACGGATCAGTCGTCCTGTCCCCTTGGCAGAAAAACAGCCCCATAGCATGATGTTTCCACCCCCATGCTTCACAGTAGGTATGGTGTTCTTGGGATGCAACTCAGTATTCTTCTTCCTCCAAACACGACGAGTTGAGTTTATACCAAAAAGTTCTACTTTGGTTTCATCTGACCACATGACATTCTCCCAATCCTCTGCTGTATCATCCATGTGCTCTCTGGCAAACTTCAGACGGGCCTGGACATGCACTGGCTTCAGCAGCGGAACACGTCTGGCACTGCGGGATTTGATTCCCTGCCGTTGTAGTGTGTTACTGATGGTGACCTTTGTTACTTTGGTCCCAGCTCTCTGCAGGTCATTCACCAGGTCCCCCCGTGTGGTTCTGGGATCTTTGCTCACCGTTCTCATGATCATTTTGACCCCACGGGATGAGATCTTGCGTGGAGCCCCAGATCGAGGGAGATTATCAGTGGTCTTGTATGTCTTCCATTTTCTGATGATTGCTCCCACAGTTGATTTTTTCACACCAAGCTGCTTGCCTATTGTAGATTCACTCTTCCCAGTCTGGTGCAGGTCTACAATACTTTTCCTGGTGTCCTTCGAAAGCTCTTTGGTCTTGGCCATGGCGGAGTTTGGAGTCTGACTGTTTGAGGCTGTGGACAGGTGTCTTTTATACAGATGATGAGTTCAAACAGGTGCCATTCATACAGGTAACGAGTGGGGGACAGAAAAGCTTCTTACAGAAGACGTTACAGGTCTGTGAGAGCCAGAGATTTTCCTTGTTTGAGGTGACCAAATACTTATTTTCCACCCTGATTTACGAATAAATTCTTTACAAATCCTACCATGTGGATTCATGGATTTTTTTTTTCACATTCTGTCTCTCACAGTTGAAGTGTACCTCTGGTGCAAATTACTGACCTCTGTCATCATTTTAGGTGGGGGAACTTGCACAATCGGTGGCTGACTAAATACTACCGTCCCTACAGTTAAGCCCTGTAAGGTGAACTTTATGTCAGGCACTCTGCAGTTAACACAGCCAGTCTGTTCAATCTGAAAGTTTCTTTTTTTGAACATGCAGTTTTCATCCTTGACACTCGGCACATTTGAGATCTTCCGCCTGGCCAAACTGATATCAGACAACATTGTGTACTTTCTTCCGCGCAATGTTGACATGGATCAGGTCAGTGTGTTCAGGATTTCTCAAACATGTAATGTAATCTGTACTTTGACATATTTCGTGTGACCGTGGATGTCTGGATGTTCATGCTCCACTGGACTGGCAACGCCGCGGTGGCATCGTTCTTTATGTACCCAGACTCTTATACTTGTAATGAGTATTGTGCTGTAGTTGTGTTTGCTTTGGTCAGCTTGTGTTGGGACTGTCTTACTGAAATCTTGTCTCTTTGCTACAGGTGGCCTCTTTAGCCGGCCCAGGAGGGAAGGTGGAGGTCGAGCAGAACTTCCTCAACAACAAGCTGAAGACAGTGACTGCTTACTTTGGCAGCTTGATAAGCCCGGGCTAAGCCAAGCACCAGTACGAGCGCCCATGAAGGAGAACGGACCGAACATCAGTTTCTGCTGTTTGTCATCATTTCTGTTCCAGGTTACTGAACCACATCCACACAGGATTCACTCTGCAGATCAGCCAGCCCAGCTTACCCACCTGCCATTTTCTATATCTTTATAATATCTGTTTTTATTTTGTCCTTTTATTCTACATTTGAGCCTAATAAAATGTTTTTCTCATTGTTTTTATGCAATGTTTTGGTACATTTTAGTTTAAGACTGGCAGATGACAAAGACATTAACTACATCAGCAACAGAGTTATTGACATCTGCACAGCAGAACCGTCTTTTAAAAAGCTGTTTATGTGTTTGCTAAAGAGGTGCAGTGTGGGGGAAAAGCTTTGATAGCTGCCACTAGGATGGTAACCGGACTGGTTCTGATATAGCACCTTTCTACTCCACCTCTCCACATTCTGATGATGGGGTCAGGCAGGCGGGCAGGTCTTGCAGATCGAGGTTTGTGAATGCGATATCTTGAAAACGAGGCAGTGTAGGGGCTTCAGTCTGATGCCACAGGTGCATCTGTTACTGATCTCCGATCAAACGTCAGGTTTTTTTGAAAATCTTGTGAATGCGATAACTCGTGAACAAGGTGGCATAGAATTTTGAAATTGATACCATGAGTGTGTCTACTGCAAATCTCAGACGACTTCAAATCCTGGAGATAAAGTTTTTGACATCTCGCTGTGATGTAGGATTTAGTTTGATACAGTAGGTGTGTCTGCTAGGAGGCAGGGGGGTAGCACTAGCAGCTGCTGGCATTCACGCTCCAATGGACGCATCAGAGCGTCTGACAAACTGCAGTCAGGGATCAAACCTTCCAGTTAGTAGACGACCTACTCTACATCCTGAGCTACGGCTTTGGAGTGAGGGACACGAGATCCATACTACAATATGTTTATCTTACAGTGTCCTGATGCAATTAAAATTGCAATTTTGTATCCATGTAACTATTTTCACAAGTATTCAATTTCATTCAGTTTTGTTATATAGTGCTAAAGCACAAGAGTCATTTCCAGGGCCTTTATAGAGTCATCGTCATCGTGATGAAAGTGCGTTTGGTAAAAACTGAAATATCACTGAGGTATGAGTCATACTTGTATTTCACAGGCTGCTCCAGGAGCCGTTATCGTTTCAAGCACAAAGAATGAGAAATCGGCTATAAATGATAATCATTTATACACAGGACAATGAAGAAAAAGCCATGTGATGCTACAGTGGTTCATCAACAGAAACGTGTCATCAGTGACAAATGGCATGCCAATACATCTCAATGCAGTCAAACGAATACAAATGCAGTACAATCAAATGTCAAGTGTAAGCCGTTAGCGTGTGACGGACAAACATTCCTTTGTAGAAACATATTTCCAGATACAAGAAACAAAAGCACTCTTATCACCAGCTTGAATCCGCTCAGCGTAGCTGCTCTACAGGACGGAGCAGCTCTCAGCATGATCGGACCCGTTATTCTAGTTTCAGGGACACCGAGGAGAAAACAACACCTCTGAAAGACTGTGCTAAATGAAAATAAGGATTTCTCTGAGTGTGGAAAATGTCCTGCTGCCAAAATATGACCAGTTGCTTGTTTGATGATGAGTATCTGCGTCATGTCACATTCATCTACAGAGATGGTGTTTAAATGTGTTTAACCTTGGAGTCGAATGAAACCGACTCTGCAGCCTAGTTCAGTCACAGCAAGTCTCCACGAGGCGTTTGTTCTCAGCTGCTGTTCACCTGAACTTGTGTGAGCGAGATGAAACCGTTCTGCTGTCAGTCCACTCGGTCTTATATTACAGGGAGGGCTCGTTGATACAATAACACTGTGCAAAATTAAATTGAATATTATCCAAGATAAGAGTTCTTTCCTGATCCATAAGCCCAGTGCAGTGTTATGAGGCTGCTGCTTTTTCCTACTTTTGTCTTTATTTGACCTCAGATTCAATGTGGACACGTCGCAGATCTGCCACCAGCTTTGTGTCAAACATATTACCTTCAGCATGTGAAGGTAGTGACGGGGGTGCTGTTAGAGGCACAGTTTAGTCTGGATTGTGGAGTTTGGCCCTCAGCAGCTGACAGTGAAAACATCTGCCAGCTCTGGGAGCTGTTGGAAGGAATTTGGTTCACTTTAGGGAAGTTAGAGTATTTGTTTGCTACAGTGCTGTGCTTTACTCGTCCCTCACCAGCCTTGGTAGTGGAATCACTAACTTAATGCTGCCTCACTGTGGATTTGAAGGTGAAGTTTAATAAAGTTATTTGTTCTGTTTTTGTAGTCTGGCCCTGGACAAACGGCAGCTTAAGACAAGCTGAGTGTGTTTCCTGAACTCACGGCAAAAAAGTATCAAGAAGTCTTTGAAAGACACATTCAGATGCAGAAATCAACAGAAGCTCTGAGTTCAGATGATGCAAACAATGTCATGGCTACATCTCCTTTACAGACAAGCAAGCCAGCTATGCATGCACGTGCATGTGTCGCGCACACACACACACACACCATAGTTTTTAGTCTGAGAACCAAAATTAAACTACCAACATACAGAATAAATCATTTTATAAAAATAAGGCAAATTATAACGTATCACACTTAATATACAAAAACACTTTTGTAATATACAAATTGTTTACTGTCGCTATATGCACAAAGGCTTATTGGGACTAATTCATAATTATTTTAATTCATGCCAAAGTTCTTAAAGTCAAAGTACCAGAAGTAAAGCACAAACACATGAAATAAAAACACAAAGAAAATTAAGAATAAATAATATCAACATTTGAAAAAATATAATATCAATAAATAAATACATTACATACTGAAATCAAAGTCAGAGCGATATATATATAAAAATATAAGATAAAAGCAAATGAACATACTGACTGATCCAAGGCCTGAAACTTTATGGCACCGTACACTGAAGGCCGTCCTTCCATCATATGAATCACTCCACACTGTCGCTGCCAGGCACTTCTGCGCCCTGTGCTTTAATACCCAAGCTAAAATACCAATGGTTTCCACTGTCTCTAAAGTCCTCAGCTCCTCCAGGGTTAGTAGGTCGTCACCTCCAGCTACTCCCTAAGCCTGCAAAACTACATCCTAACGTGTGTCCGTATCGATGAGGGTTCAGATGAACCACTCTTTCTTGCTCTCATCAATGGTTTCGGTGAAGGCCGGATCGTTGACAATGATCGCTGCGTCGGCACAGTCTGCTGACTCGGCTCCCTTTGCCTCGTTAGTGTGGTAGGAGCCTTTGTGACGAAACATGTGACGGATCACGAACACCATGATGCACAGGACGCTGAAGATCACCATGGAGATGATTCCTGGAAGAAAGCATGAGCAACGCAGTGAGCACTTTCTCTAACACAGTGAACTTCAAGTATATTTGATGCAGCATTTGAAGAACGGACTGAAGACAGCATTGTTGAGCATGTTGAGCTAGTCATTTTTAATGGCATGCTAACATTGCCAGAAATGACTAAACTGGTAAGCAATGATCATTTTGGAAAATGGCTCACTGAGGACCAGTCGCGGTTCCAGGAACCAGAGATGGAATTAAGGTTAAGAGATCCATTGACTTCCACTTATCCTTCTCAGGGTTGTGGAGGGGGGTTGCCCTATGGTTCATACCATAGGGCAAGATGCGGGGGACACCCTGGACAGGTCGCCAATCTGTCTCCGGGCTAACACACAGAGACATACAACCATTCACGCTCACATTTACCTACAGGCGATTTAGAATCGCCATAACTGGTGAATATTTTGCAGCTCTGTTTCCTGCTTATTACAGAAAACTACCACAGCTGTTTCCTGATGATAATCACTTTTTAAATTAGCTTCAATAGCTTAATAATGTGTTATTAAATGGAAACAGGCAGCTCTCTTTCCTGCTTATTACACAGATGCTACCACGGGTAACTGAGTGGTAATAACTTAGAAGTTACCACATTATTACAATCCTCTTCCTTCCTCGTTACCCTACTATTACCACTTTATTACTGAGCTGTATTTCTATATTATTACCCCAGTTTTTGGGCTCTTATTAGCCTATAACATATATTTCAGAGTAATATTTCTCAGCTTTAACCACTGTTACTACCATGATATTACTTGGCTATTTAGTGGCTATTACTTTGGTAATTGCATAGTAATAACTTAGAAACACATTATACTCGTTTCCCCCTTGTTACCCTACTATTACCACTTTATTACAGAGAAAGTGTAGAAAGTGCTACCCTTCATTCTTAATTCTTAATCAAAGACATATAAAAATAAAATGAAACTGAATTGAATAGATAAAATCAAAGATAAGTCTAATTAATACGTTGAAATACAGAATATTGAAGTATATATATGAGAAATACAGTTTGAGTAATGGAGATTTTTCTAATGTCTAAATTATGTGTAGACACGATGAAGTGTTTGTGTGGCTGCAGGAAAGTGGAAAGATAAGAAATGTGACTCTGGATAAGAGAAAAGTATGTTGTAAACAGAATCATAGCTGATATGATAGTTAATCAAGCTTAATACTGATGGGAATCAGGTATAAGTTCAACCACTACAATGAGTATGAAAACATTATAATGATTCAGGCGTCTCACTGAGTGTAGAGGCGGCCTGCGAGGCTGTGTGATCACATGTAAGTAAGCAGGATGGGGAGTGAGGGCGATACTAAGGAACCACTAATCGAAAGTAATGTCTGACTTTGATATTATGGAGTCATCTTCATGTTCTGAAAAGAAGATTTCACATCTCACCAAAACTGTCCATGTTTGGTTCAACCACAGAACTTTCTGACTTCCCCATAAAAATGAGACGTCCTGGCCCTTACACAGCTAAAGGGATTCTGCTAAGACACTGCTGGGAAAGCTGCCGGCCTCCCTATGACGAATGGTTAATGGTTAAAATAGCATCGTACAAAAAAGTGACTTGTGGCCTATTAGACAAACTGTATTTGGTCTCCTTTTAGTAGCTGGCTCTCTGCCACCTGAGGTGCAGAGGTGTGTAATGGGGGGAGTGGGAGGTGAGTGTAAAACAGAGTATGATAAAACTTATTTCTCTTGTTTTGTTTATGTCTAAAGTTTAATAAAAAAAGTTGAAAACAAGAATGTCTGACTTTGAAATGCATGACTTCATAAAAGGAATCGTATGTTGTCGTTGACCAACACAGACTGATAAAAAAAGTATCCCTGTGTTTTTGAATTAAAAAGAGATTATTAGGGATGGGTACCGGTGTCCGGTGCCAT